AAGCCTGAAAGGTCTCCAGGCATATATGGAACTGAAAACTCACACCCCAGAAGTGACTCGAATCCATACTGCCAGAAGCAATGCATCTGATGTACAGGATCCCTTAACCACCGACCAACACGACCGGCAGTATTCGGTTCGAGTCACTTCTGGGGTGGAAGTTTTCAGTTATATATATATATATATATATATATATATATATATATATATATATATATATATATATATATATATATATATATATATATATATATATATATATATATATGTCGTACCTAGTAGCCAGAACGCACTTGTCAGCCTACTATGCAAGGCCCGATTTGCCTAATAAGCCAAGTTTTCATGAATTAATTGTTTTTCGACTACCTAACCTACCTAACCTAACCTAACCTAACTTTTTCGGCTACCTAACCTAACCTAACCTATGAAGATAGGTTAGGTTAGGTTAGGTAGGGTTGGTTAGGTTCGGTCATATATCTACGTTAATTTTAACTCCAATAAAAAAAAATTACCTCATACATAATGAAATGGGTAGCTTTATCATTTCATAAGAAAAAAATTAGAGAAAATATATTAATTCATGAAAACTTGGCTTATTAGGCAAATCGGGCCTTGCATAGTAGGCCAAAAAGTGAGTTCTGGCTACTAGGTACGACATATATATATATATATATATATATATATATATATATATATATATATATATATATATATATATATATATACAATGAATGTAAATAAGAAACTAAACCTGGACACATTCAACAATAGACTTGAAACTACTGTCTGTGCTATAGATATAGAGTATATAACAGGGTAGGTTATTGTCGACATATATTTAACTGGAAAAGATTGTCTGATTCTTGACCTTGCTAACACCCGGTGTTAATACCTGGCTGACACGCAGTGTGGCTCTGTAGCCTCTTTAGTACAAGCAAGTGCCTCTGTAGCGTGGCCCCACACGCGTTTGATCAAACAGACTCGCTCCACCTGCGGCCCGTTGATGATTGATGAAGATTAAGCCACCCCAAGAGGTGGCACGGGCGTGAATAGCCCGTAATGCGGCCCGTTGGAAGTAACAGCCGTATATATCAGGCTACCACCAGACAAGCCTGGGCTAAGGCCGGGTTTGGGGGAACGGAAGATTTCGCGAAACCAAATACAGGTAAACTACAGGAAGTAGATAGCAGCGATCTCTGAGGGTCATGAGCCTAAACTCGACTCGGTTGCCTTTATTCATAGGAAATGGGGCCATTTACAGCCACATTATTCACAGAATTTAAAACTAAATTTTCCTTCACCGAGAGTAAAGGAATGACCTGCATCATGGCATCCTTTCCAGGCACTCACACCTGTGGCTACCTCTACGTGTGGACGGCAACAGAAGGTAACAGTAAGAATATGGCAAGGACTTGCCATATACACAACTTGATAATGGGACCGAAACGTCGCCGTTTCTTCATTTTCTGAGTATGGTTTGGCCATTATATGGCAAGGGAACCATGTCAGGAATTAAACAAGCGTTTTCTGTCCTCGGATGAGACAGTAGAAGCCTCGACCCAGGTCGCTGAGACGTTATCGTCGTGAACTTGGATATGTCTGGTGTTATCGAGATCACTCGGAGGGGGTAATCATTTTTATTCACGTCTTAACTTACTCCATCTAACAGGGACTCTAGGTTTTGATAGTTGGCTGGGAGGACGGGAACCGGACTGGTGTAAATGATGCCATTAAAACAAATGGGTCCAATTTTAACCATCATACGGCCGAAGTGGTTAATGACTTCATCCCTGAAAGCCCGCTTGCTGCTATGCACACAGATGGCTGCATGATGAATCTACTTAAATAATTATCAAATGCAGGCGATATGCTGAAGGAGCTCCGTGGAGGTATTTGTTAAGTATCGAGTTGGATGATGCGTTTGGTGGATAAAGCCTGGATGTTAGAGCCGTCAAGGCATCGATATATGGATGAGGCGAGGATGGTAACATTGGTACAAAGGATATATGGCCTTACAGCGAGGTTTTGCATACGAGGTAGAAGACAGGCTGATTTATTAAGCCCCGGAGTGCGTGGGGAATAGGCGATGGTGGCGACTCGTAGAGTGAATTCAGGATGGCGATCAGGAAATACGCCGACCTCGCGGATGCAGCAGGAAATATGCCGACCTCACAGATGCAGCAGAAAATATGCCAACCTCACAGATGCAGCAGAAAATATGCCGACCTCGCGGGAGCATCACGAAAGCGAGTAGAACGGCAGCAGCCGTCGTGGCTGGCTATGTCGATGGTTGCTCCTCACCTGAGCGAGCTGGCAAGCCCCACACAATGATGGAGAATACTTCCATCGGCACTGTGTCCCGTTGAAGGGGTGCCAATATTGCTTCGGCTTTAGCTCTCGCTAATGGTACACACCAAGTACCATGATCTACAAAGTGAAGGTCCAGTTCAGAGGAGACCACACGTTCACACGGAGGCAAATTCTGGAGTCATCAACATCACCAACGCAGCTCTTATCGACATTCGTGAAGACGGAGTAGGAGCTGAGCTCTTCTTCTCCAGTGATGAGGCACTTGAAAAGCTGTTTTCTCCAGTGTACCAGACCGCCCTGCAGGCCACGGACCTCATCCTTACACAGCCACGTCGCTACCTGGTTAACAGAACAATCTCTGCTTGGAGAATTAGCACCTTTATATCCATCCAGACGACAACCGACATTGTTGCAGGCATCAACGATCAGAACCCTGCTCTGACAGCAGCTGCACCGAAAATCATCGGTAATGATGACAACCAACGCTCCACCTGGAAGATCCCCTTCACCATTGCTGCTGCAGCAACGCATCAACATCCAATCGGAAGTGTTTCCTTCCTTCCCAGCCAGCAGCGCCACCTCCCAGCCTTCCCATTGGAGGAACAACACTCAATAATCAACCCAGCCACAGCCTCTACGCTTCTCCACCAACCACCAACTCCGGTTCCTGTTCTACTCCACCTAGCAGACCGGATGGAAGGATAAAAATATAGATTGCTACCACAACACGTTTTCCTGGCAATGGATTAACAACCATCATCGTTCCGGATGACCTACTCACTACTCATGCAACAACTAATTCAACCCCAGCAACACCTGAGGCTGATCCGGCCAATGATCATACAGAATCGTCTGAACCTGCAACACCTACTCCAGAGCTTACTACTGCAACTGCTTCAGCCACCATAGCCATCCGCGAAGAACCCTTCTATTCCTATGACGACGATATATAGGTGGATGACTCCACTTACGATGAAGCAGTTGAGGACACTTCTAAAACTGCGACACTGAGCCCTTCAGCTACATCTCCACAGCAGACAGGTAACTTCAGCTCACAATCAGCCCAACAGGTCGAAACCAGTATAACAGGAGACCTGCGCCCCGCCTACCCTGACTGTCTTCAGGGTGGGAACATGTAGATTACCTCAGGGTCAGAACATAATACCAGCCCGAAGACCAGAAGAACTAACAGCACCCATATACTCTGAGTATCCTGCCAATGCCAACATTGTAACGACAAGAAGTCATGCTACTGTAAGAAGGAAGTAAGAAGTCACCGCCAGAAGAAGGAAGTCTCTGCCAACACCCAGCCGTCAACGAAGCCTAAGAAGAAAATGCCACAGCTGCAACAAGAAGAAGCGCGACTGCCTCGACTTCGTTTCCCGAAGTTTCCACCCGTCACCACCCAGGAACATTACTTGCCATCCACACTGATGCCAGTCAGTTACAGCTCCGCTCCTGTGCCAGGTAAGTCCGCTACGGGCTCACAATAGCCCGTGGTATTTGGAACTTTTTGTTCCCAGTAGCTGAATATTAAACAACAACAACAATGACGCCAGTCAAAGAGTTCCAGACCGAGGTTGGCAGACCACCGAACTTTATATCCTCCTCGTTCTCCATCCCCCATTCTTTATATTCAGAATTCCAACTCTCCATTCTTCTTCCATCCCCAGATCCTTACCAAGCCCCTGGGTCATCAAAACACAAAACCCATTGCGAAATATGCCGACCTCGCGGATGCATCGGGAAAGACGCCGACCTTACGGGAGCATCCCAAAAGTTGCGACCTGGCAAGAGCATCAGGAAAGACGCTGACTTCGCGGGAGCATCAGGAAAGACACCGATCTCGCGGGAAGAACCCGTACGGAGAACCTTTATGTTCAAGGATTAGTGAGTGATAAGGAGTGGAAAGGAAGAACAACTGTCTCATAAAACGTTCTGGCCTGCCACATGTCAACTGAACTCTTCGCCCGAAGGACTCTCTTCCAATAACCGAGGGGGAGAAATAGATTGTCGCTTGAATGTATCTTGAGGGAAACTGGCGCTTGCTACGAGTTATATGTTGACAATTAGCACCTAAATTATTATTTTAGCGGAGAAGAGTACTAGCTTGAATGCAAATATTTATGACTATATAGTCTTTTAAAATTAATTTCTTATTGTTAGTATATAATATTATTTTTAACGATAGGAAATGTGACGTTTAATAAGAAAAAGTAAATTGATGTTTAATTTACTGAACACTTTATTTCACTTCTGTTCTATTTTAATTGAAAATACCTTTAGACTAACTGAAAATGTTTCTAGACTCAATTAACTTGAAATGATAGAGGCACTTCGACACAAGAAATGTTCAACATCTTGACAGTTTGGTAATATATAAGGACAGTAAAGAGCCTTATATATAATAAAGTCTTCGGAGCAGGAAGGTGGGTTAGCGTTGACCCACTAACGGTGGGTCCCGGGGGCCACCCCGGACCCGAAGCGCCCGCCCGAACCCGCAAGGAATCTGAAGGCACCGAGCTGGTACCAATTAAATTTTTATATGTAACCCGCACACACGCTGGTATCCACTTTATTGTGTGATCTGTGTAGCCACACATGTGCTAAAGGAGATGGGCGTATATATATCTTGAGGGTAGAACCACTTATACATTGATAAGGAAGGTAGGAGGGAGGGGGGGGGGGGGAGGGGGGCGGGGTTGGCTATTAAAGCAACAATGCCGTAACCATCTCACGATGTGCCAGCAATACAGACATCAAGAGACAACATCCGTCCACAACGGAGCACATCTATAAATTTATATATGTAAAAAAAAGGAAAAGGCCTCGTAAAGGCAGGGCACATGAAGTACTTGACGTGGGAGGTACACATCAGTAAATGATGACAGATCTCAGAGGTCGGTAACAAGGGACCAAGATGACATCGATCATAAAGCTAAACAGTTAAGGATATCTTGAATTATCTTGGCAGAGTATCATCTGGAAAGCTCAGGACCAATTGCATCAAGTAGTTACACATGCACTTAAGAAACCTGTACATCGTTCTTTAATCATGATGGTTTTGTAATAATATACCAACAAGTTTATGAGCTCTAAAGCATAATTAAGTTGTTAACAGCAATAATAACCTTGGGTTGGGTGGTGGTTGTTGTTGTTGCTGCTGTGAATTAGGGCGACGACGATCGTGGGATCTGATGCGCCCAGGTGTACTCGTAAAGGGTTAAACGCAAATCCTAATGGCGAAACGAATGACGCATAACACCAGAAACGAATATGCCTTTACGACAAATAAACGCACAGACGGGCAGACGATTGAGGAGCCCCAGGAGTCCCTCAGGGTGACAAGCACCGGCCCCGCCCCACACAGAGAACACTGGGTAGCAAAACCAAAAACTCGGCCGCCAACTATACCGTAAAATATCAACCAGTGCCTTCCGACAGAGCAGAAGCCAACCGCCACCACGTCTCAGGGCACACCAGGTGTCCACCACGGCTGAGGGCACACCACTAGCCCACCACGTCTCAGGGCACACCAAAAGCCCACCAAGAGCGGCAACTTCCAGTACCTCTCGGTCAAGCCGCCGCCGGACACCGTCTACCCGCCGGGAGAACCAGCCAGAAAACGTTAAAATATCTATCAACGATCCTGTGACCCAAGGCGATATGTGCGCCAGGCGTCTTACAATCCGGACCGTGGAATAAGAATACCAAACGGCAGCATCAAATCCAAAATCACAAAACAGAGCGTGATCCGGCGGCTCCCAGGCGGAGGTGGCGTCCAGACGTCCGCTCGTCGTCAAGGATGAACCAGGAGTCCTTGGGTTGGGTTGTTTCGAAGCTTGTGTAAACAAAGCTCCCCCCCCCCCCCGTCCCATCCCAAAACCTCTTTCTGACCCCTTCCCAAGTGCTATATAGTCGTAATGGCTTGGCACTTTCCTCTATATTTTTTTTCATACTAAACTTTATAAAAAAAAGCCTCCATAACTAAGGAAAGAAGTGTTGATTGCGTAAATGCTCGATGAATCCTGGCCATGGTCTAGCTGTGCTCAAAATAAGATACAGACCCATATGATACTAAACCATACCTTCCACTAAGATTTCCTGTACATATATATATTATATTAATATATTATATATATATTATATATATATCAATATATATTAATATATATTAATATAATATATATAATATATTATTATATATTGCTAGCACAATATCGCATTTACCGTAGTATGTCTCCAACCAAGCCATGAACACCCGTTTTCTGTAACATTATAACCTTAGCGTCCCGGCAAATACACAAAATAACCGACAACGTAAAGGTAACGTTGTGGCTACGACCTATAAGGAACCATATTCAAGAGTGGCGTTGGTTCGACATTGCACTGGCGTTGTTCTTGGATATTGTGCCGACTGGGTATCAAGTTTACCACTAAATCCATCCTGGCCTCCCGATCCTTCAAGACCATTCTGCGGGCGAGCAAGTTTGTGAGCTTCGAGGAACGTCCTACTTATTAATGGGGGAAAGTTTGACTGTTGATCTAGTTCTGCGGGCGGTCTGTGCGGGCGGAGGTGGGCGGTTGAAGGCGTGAGGCCCCATCACAGGAGAGGGCAGGTCGCGGATAGATGGAGAGGAACTCTTGCGGGGCGGTGAAGCCAGTCCCACACCGGCCTCGTCAGCCACCCACTCCTGCAGAAGACACAATGTGTTCAAGTTAGATATATCCTCAACGCTGTATATGCACTTACCATAGAATTCAGTGGGCAAAGTATGCTTGAGTAATGCTAAATCAACGCTAAATCAACGTTAAATCAACGCTAAATCGACGTTAAATCAACGCTAAATCAACGCTAAATCGACGTTAAATCAAATACCACAACCATATCGCCTGTCCAGAACACCCAGCTGGGTTAAGTGCCAAACCTGCCCGAAACGCTAAGTTTCCTGCCCGAAACGCTTTGCGTAATAGTGGCTTTAGGCATTGTATGTACTAGCTCTATCTATAAATCGATAAATTTTTGTAAAATCTCTTGTATGTATGTACCTTACCTGAATAAACATTTATTTATTTATTTATTAAGTCTCAGTCATTACACGAGTCCTAATCAAGACCAAGTATTGGGAGGACCGAAGACGCCGACATTGGATAGGGAACCGATTAGATCGATTATACTATGAAGGAAATGTATAGTGCTCATGACGCCATGCAGAAGATGTATAGTGACCATAACACCATATACAAGAGGTAGCCAACATAGCATCATACAGATGTACAGCCAGCATAACACTACAAAAGATGTATAGTCACCATAACACCATACAGAAGATTACAGTCACCATAACACCACAATTGCAAAGTAGGACACGAGTGGTAGAGGAACTTTGCCAAATATGAACCACTTACTCATTTGGAAAGACAACAGGAAAGGAGGTACATATAGGAAAGGAGGTACACATAGGAAAGGAGGTACATATAGGAAAGGAGGTACATATGGGAAAGGAGGTACATATAGGAAAGGAGGTACACATAGGAAAGGAGGTACACATAGGAAAGGAGGTACACATAGGAAATGAGGTACACATAGGAAAGGAGGTACACATAGGAAAGGAGGTACACATAGGAAAGGAGGTACACATAGGAAAGGAGGTACACATAGGAAAGGAGGTACATACAGGAAAGGAGGTACACATAGGAAAGGAGGTACACATAGGAAAGGAGGTACACATAGGAAAGGAGGTACATACAGGAAAGGAGGTACACATAGGAAAGGAGGTACACATAGGAAAGGAGGTACATACAGGAAAGGAGGTACATACAGGAAAGGAGGTACACTGAAAGAGCGGCATTTAAGCCGCTGTTCCAGGCTTAAATATCCATAAGCTTGGAAAAATGGCTTGCATGTTCTGGAAGTGAGGACATTTTCTTCCAGAAGAAGAGGGGAAATTGACTTCCTAAAGAGGGGGGAGTTGGCTTCCTAAAGAGGGGAAATTGGATTCCAGACGAAGAGTGGAAATTGGTTTCATAAAGAGGTGAAATTGACTTCCAGAAAAAGAGAAATTGTCTTGTACATGAAGTGGGAAAATGGGTTTCTAGAAGAAGCAGGAAAATTCGCTCCGAAAAGAAGAGAGGAAAATTGGGTTCCACAAGAGGAGAAAATTGGGTTCCTTCCTCGACACAAGGAATCATTACGTGTCCGCTAAATAGTGGTTCTCTTATCTAGTAAACACCGATAAGCTAAACTGGACGATAAGCAACACCCGTTATAATAATCACAAGTTTAATGAGATAGCGTGTTTTAGCGTGAGAGCTGCAGTGCCCTTTTCGGTTTAGGCACATTGTCTCGAGATAAAGCAAGGCCTACTTGTTGTGTAGGTCTACAGGGGGAGGAATGTTCTGCGAAGGCCTACAGGGTAGGAACGCTCCGTGGAGGCCTACAGAACAAGAACAATACATGAAGGTCTACAGAACAGGAACAATACATGAATGTTTACAGAACAGGAACAATACATGAAGGTCTACAGAACAGGAACAATACATGAAGGTCTACAGAAAAGGAACAATACTTGAAGGTCTACAGAACAGGAACAATACATGAAGGCCTACAGAACAGGAACAATACATGAAGGTCTACAGAACAAGAACGTTCCGTGAAGGACTACACCCTCAGTACAATTTTCAATTCAAGACAAGAATGTACAAGAATGTAAGAACTCTTGTATATCTAATTAAAATAAAATAAAATTCCTGATAATATTTTCCCATAAAAAAGTCCTTTCATTTATTTATTTTATATATACAATAGTTCTTACATTCTTGTACAGCCACTAGCACGCATAGCGTTTCGGGCAAGTCCTTAATCCTAATTTTCACACACCCACGCACACATCCCCAGGAAGCAGCCCGTAGCAGCTGTAACTCTTAAGTACCTATTTATTGCTAAGTGAACAGGCGCATCAGGGCGAAAGAAACTCTGCACATTTGTTTCCTCCTCCGCCGGGGATCGAACCGGCGTCCCTTAGGACTACAAACACTGAGCGCTGTCCACTCAGCCGTCAGGAGCCCCCTTAAATTCATAATATTATATAATTCAGTAAGACAATAATAATGTTGACTAGAGAACAACAATGTATTCCAATTAAATGGTCAGATAAGAGTGCAGTCACTAAATTGCATATTTTGTCCTGAAGTGCGAGTTTGAGCCCGTTTTCTCCGAAAGAGTTTCTTTCACCCTATGCCCCTGTTACCTAGCAGTAAAATAGGTACCTGGGTGGTAGTCAGCTGTCACGGGCTGCTTCCTGGGGGTGGAGGCCTGGTCGAGGACCGGGCCGCGGGGACACTAAAAAGCCCCGAAATCATCTCAAGATAACCTCAAGATAACCTCAGAGTAAATCCATTCATTACCTCAAGTAACAAACTTCCCCGTCACTCCACCTAGATAGTTATCTAGATATTTGTCATAGTCTGTATCGTTCCAGTAATAGTATACTTGTAAACTGGCAAGTGAACCTTTGCCCTAAACAGAGATTATTCTGAAGTTACAATTTAATTATAAATCGTTGGTTTAAAATATAAAAGTATATGCTAAAATATTTTCTTTTAAATAGTCTGAAGAATTTTTTTTCTGTAAACGAAATTCAAAGGCATAGTTTAACAGATTTCGAATTCCATATTTTGGGCAGTATTACACCATATTATTGTAATGAAACCTGACCTACATAGCCTAACCAAATCTTAACCTAACCTAACCGTAGATAGAGAATAGATAATAGCACTAATGACGTAGTCATTCTCAATCCATTAACGTGAGTGGATTTCCTCCGTGAGGACAGGCTGGCGAGTTTATTTTAAGAAAATCCGCTGGGTTATCCATCATGCCTCTTATACACGAACGCAGCTGAGGACTTATTTTACTGTATAATAAGAAAATCAGTAGGAGTCTAGTCTGGGACTTCTGTGTGAAAGTTGTTCCCGGTCGATAGCCTTTGATCTGTTGTTCAGTAGTTTGTGTTTTTATATTTTAGACGAAATTAGGCAGGGTAAGTGCAAATGTGTTTTTGCGAGTTTAAGAGGTGATTATATGGTGAGGAGGTCTCAAGGAGACAAGGATACTTTCCCGCCAAGTGCCAGCGACGTCGCCAGAGCTTATAGAACGACGCTACCTGTAAGAACCAATTAGAGCAAAGCAAGACAGTGACGTTTTGTATGGAAAGCGCGGAGATTGGCGGAGGTAGGTCACTTCACACCTGAGTTTCAAAGAGGTCATATTACCACCGTCGCTTCGTTACTGCTGGATGGATATCATAACCTGATACTTGTCAGAAGGACCGAACTGGAAGATAAGGGCAGTATCCAGCAGTGTGTGTGTGCTCCCAGGAACTGACCTGGTGGTAAGTGGTTTCGTTACAGCTGTGTAGAAGTGGGCTTCGAGGAGTGGCAAGCTGCGCGACCGTAATGTAGACCTGATGTGAGATGTCTTCGTCGTCAGGAAGGACGACCTTGCTACAATAGCGTAGAAATGCCAGAGAAGGTTGCCATGCTGCTAGTGCACCAGGAGGGTCGCACTGTTTCCTGTCGAGTCGGCGGATGCAGCCGCGATTGTTTCCACATTGAAGAAGACTGGAGGCAATGTGAAGTCACGACGAAAGTTCAGTGTGTGTGAAACTAACAATTTGCCAGACAGTGTGTGTGTGTGTGTGTATGCATCAGCAGCTTGCTAACAGACCCAGGAGCTACACACACCGAAGGTTTCGTCTATTGGTAGACCCGTGCATCAGTAGGTTGGCCCTATAGTGATAGACAGTATTATATATGCAGCAGCTGTTAAGGGCAGAGGTTATGGACCCGGCCAGTTATGTGAGAATCTGCCCTTCTGAGGAACAGTGATATTTATGCAACAGTGAGGTGGTCATGGGAACCGGCTTGTATTGGTGTAGCAGAAGTTGGGGGCCAAGCGTTTAAACCCCGGGCGATAGTGTGAGGATCGTCCATTGAAGCAGCAGTTGGCGCCCAGTGTTTGAAACCCAGACAACCATGTGAGGACTGGCATATATTGAATAACTGACAATGGATTTGAGGGTAACTGACTTTAACTGGAAGGTAGAGCGACGGTCTCGCTTCACACAGGTCGGCGTTCAATCCCTCACCGTCCAAGTGGTCAAAAAAGCACCAGTCAAAAAAGCTAACCACACAATTGGAATAATCAAGTGAATCTTTGGCTTTAAAGGAAAAGAAGATGGCTGGTGCGCCCCCATTTGGTTACTGTATCCAAGCATGGAGACCTCATCTTCAGAAGAACATAGCTGCTCCGGAGAAAGTGCAACACCGGGCAACAAAAATCATACCAGTGCTAAGTCATCTCTCACACCAGGAACGGCTGAGGGCCCCAGGGCTAACAACACTGCAAACCAGGCATGGCAGAGTGAATCTGATTGAAACTTAAAATACTGATCAAATTGGAGGATGTTGATCCGGACAATTTCTACAAAAGGTCAGATGTAACACAAACAAAGAGCAACAGTTTCGAGCTCAACAAGCCACAATGTAGGACTGAGAACAGGATATGATTTTTCACAGGGTTATAAACCCACGGAATCGCCTACCCGCCGAAGTCGTAAATGCCAAAAACTCTGCTAACTTTTAAAATCCAATTGGAAAAAAATCATCAGAGCTAATATGGGAACATTTGACA